TGGGGTTAGGTGGGTGGGTGTGGGGTAGGTTAGTAAGGGTGTGGGGTCAGTTAGTGAGGGTGTGGAATAGGGTAGGGAAGATTAAGATGGAGTTTTGGAAAATATTTTCACTTCTCTTGATAAGGAAAATATTTTCCTCCAATTGGATGAAAATGATATCATAAGGAAAATGTTTTCCAAAACATTTAAACCAACCAAACATGAGAAAATTGAGAAACATTTTCCTGAAAATATTTTCCTTCATACCAAACACACCCTAAATACTAAGAAAGTGACACATGTGTTAGTAATCAAATCTGAATTTAATTTTGTACAATATTAATGAATTTCTTAATACAAATACATAATTTGGACTAAAGTTATACGTTAAGTTGTGTTGGGCAAAAAGGGCACAATAATTCTCTTAACATGGTGTGATATTATCCACTTTGGGTCAAAGCCGCACTGTTTTTCCCAAAAGGCATCACACCATCAAGAGATACTTAAATCAGATATGAAGGCTCCTAATATTTCAACTAACAATATGAAACTTTGTTCGCACATCCAACAACCTCTCGATCCAGTTCCACATAGTCTATTACCACGATTTACTTGTCAATTTTCGAGATTCACTGTGCCACCCACATCGTTAGAGTACTTATGGAAACTGACCCGCAACTAGTTTCTTTTTAGTGTGCGCGCTTTCAAGCTCGTAAGATAAGCAAACCGAGTTCCGCAAAATCACTCTTTCATCGCCAGACTCATCCAGTTGAACCTGAGCTCTGATAACAGTTGTTGGCTAAAATGGCCCAATGATTTGTTTTATAAGGGCAAATTATGATTTGTTTCAAACGACCTCCAAGCAGAGATGGAGCCAAAATTTAAATTCTATAGATTGTAAATACTAAGATAATGGCACAGGTGTTAGTAATCGGATTCTTCATTTAAATTTTACACACATTAATAAATTTTTAATATAAATATAGGGTTTGGACTAAACATATTGAGTCTCGCCTTCGAGGTGCCATTTGAAGTGTAGTACAAATTTAAGGAAGAGAAATATTTAATCATTTTGTAATATTAATGATAAAACAAGACAGAAATTCCTTATGATCAGAAGTGAACTTTTTCATTGTAGAAAACGAAAAATTTCCTAGAATTTCAAAAGTGGTGAAAGTCAATTCATTTATTTACACCATGATGATTGTCTCACCTTTACACGATGGTGTTTGATGCATGAACATGTCGTGTCGTGTGATGAGTGTAAAAGATTTTTTGGTTTTCAAAATTTTCTAGTTTTGTGATTAGTTTTTCCCAAACCTAATGTAGACAAATAAATTAAAATTCGTTACTTTTTATATTGCAGTCTTAATCTACCTATAGTCGCGTATAGTATGATAAAATGGACCAATTTGAGGTCAATATTATGTATCTTGTTGTAATGAAAATGTCAAAAACTCAGCCTTTATATCAGTGCTAACGCAATATAATCTTCACAACTCAGAAAACTGAAGAAGGGTACAAGATCGATAAGTTACACCTATTTTGTATTTCCTGTTTAGTGGAAGGTTATATGTAACTCCACCATTTAGTGGAGAAATGGGAGTTATGGATGACATGTGTAAAATCACATTGACAACTATAAAAAGAGGTGCAACTTTGTGTGTATAGGTGTTGTAACGACTTGGCCAGTCGTTTTGAGAATTTACGCCTCGATTTCCTATTAACTGTTTTTTCCGTGTCTATTTCTGTTATTGTAATTTTCCGGGATGGTTCATCGTGATTTTTGGAGTGTTATGGGACACTTAGTCCCTATAGGAGAGTTTAAGTCTTAGAAATTAGACTGTACTCGGAGCAGTGTTAAGACGGGTCCGGAATGGCATAACGTCGATTTCATTAGCTCCTTTGGAAGATTTCGGGCTTAAGGGCGTAACCGGATTGTATTTTGGAGGTCCGTAGCTTATTTAGGCTTGAAATGGCAAAAGCCGAATTTTTGGAGTTTCAGGCCGATAGTGAAAGTTTTGATATCGGGGTCGGAATTCGATTCCGGAAGTTGGAATAGGTCCATAGTGTTGATTATGACTTGTGTGCAAAATTTGGGGTCAATCGGACGTGATTTGGTTGGTTTCGGCATCGGATGTAGAACTTTGGGAATTCAAGTTCATCAGTTTTGAATTGGAGGGTGATTCGTTGTTTTAGAGTTGTTTGATGTGAATTGAGGGACTGACTAAGTTTGAATAATGTTACGGGATGTCTTGGTATGTTTGGTTAAGAACCCGAGGGCCTCAGATGAGTTTCAAGTAGTTAATGGATGGGTATAGCTGTTGAAAATAGTTGCTGGTGTTGTTGGTGTTCAGGGGTTGGTCTCTAAAGTTGGGAGCGCGGACCGCGGCGGAATCTCGCAGTCAACAGAGGAAGTTCGCGTAGGCGGTAGAATTCCGCAATCAGCGGGGACGGCTGGCGTGGATAGCGGAAGAAGGGCGCGACCCCCAGGAGCTGAAGGCCTTCGCGACCGCGGTGGGAATTCCGCGGACCGCACAGATAGTGGCGCGACAACGTTAGTTTTTGGCGGTCAGCGAAATTTGAATCCGAGACGGTGTACGATAAATACGAGGTTCGGGATTTTATTTTATATTTTAATCTAGAGAGCTCGGGTCTTGACGATTTTCGAAGGTTTTTCAAGAAATTCATCGGGGTAAGTGATTCTAACTCAGTTTTGGCTAAAATACACGAATATATCGTCGGATTTATCATTTGATTAGAGAATTGGGATAAAAAATTAGGAAAAATAGTAGAAACTTCATAAAATGGATTTTTGAGTTTTGAATGCCGAAAAGAAATCGGATTTGAGTGAAAAAACTAGTATGGTTAGTCTCGTGAGTGAATGGGTATTCATAATTTGTGACTTTCACCCGATTCTGAGATGTGGGCCCGGGGAGGATTTTTGGGCGTTTTTCTATTTC